TAGCCGAGCCAAAATCTCTTTCTTTTTCTTGTGAATATTATCAAAAATAGTTCTGCTCCACACTCGAACAGAATTTTTAAAGTGTGTAGAGCACTCTGATATGGAAAGATTAGTGTGGACCCATTCAGAAGCAACTAACTCTTTAAAGGATTCATGATCCAACCAAAACTTTTCAAGACGAAACGGTTTATCTCCTAAGGTTGGAACAGTAGGATGAAGAGAAACCATAATAGGGCAGTGATCAGAGGAGAGTCTCGGGAGGTGAAAGATAGTAGCTTCGGGAAATTTAATCCTCCAAGCTGGATTACCCCACGCTCTATCTAGTCTTTCCCAAATCAGTTGATTAGCATTTCTATTATTAACCCAAGTAAACTTAGGGCCATTAAATCCTAAATCCATGAGATTACAATAGGACATGCAATCTGTGTAAGCTTGAATTCTATAAGAAGGGAATGGGTTTCCCCCGAATTTCTCAGATTGAACAGTAATGTCATTAAAATCACCAATGGCCATCCAAGGGCCGTTGATGGTCTGAGAAAATTCTCTTAGATTATCCCAGAGCAATCGTCTAATATTAAACTGAGGTCTAGCATAAACAGCAGATAAAAACCACTCAAAACCAGTAAAATAAGGATGCGAAATTACCTTAACAAGAGCGTGGATGACCTGGGAGCCTTTGTTAAGGGTCTCTACTAAGAATCGGGAATCATCCCAAAGGAGCCAAATCCCGCCAGCATAGCCTTCAGCATCTACTATCTCCCATTTTGGAAATCCCAAACTTCGGGCCACCTCTATCGCCCTATCACCATTGAGCTTGGTTTCCATGATGACAAAAAGTCCAGGATTGTGTTCACGGATGATCTCTCTGACATTCCTTTTGAACTCTTCATTAGCCGCTCCGCGGCAATTCCATGAAAGGACTTTCATTGACCACGCTATGTTACTGAAGGAATTCATGACCCAACGGCCCAGCTCCTGATTCCAACGGATTGAATCGCTCGATCTGTTCTTGATCAACATGTTCGCTTCTGGGAAGTAGAACGGAATAGTCTTCTGAATGAAGCGAGCTCTCATGGCACATGGAACTTCCTCCCGTTGAATAATCAAGTGGACGATCTTCATGCTTCCCAGTAGCGACATTTTGTTGAGAAACCAGCTGCTCTCCGGAACCCACACTATCTGAGGTGAGAGTTGTTCCTCCCAAAACTCCCACCCTAGTTTCTCCCTTGTCAAGCTCCATGTCGCTTTCGAGGTGAGACACATGTCTGGGGTTTCCAATGGAGGGGGAAGTTGAATCCATTCGGTTGGGGGTGGAAGGTACGGGATGGGATCGACTCCTTCTTGAACCACAACCGGACGGGTCCAGTTCCTGGCTACTGTGTCTCGATCCCAACCTTCCGCCGGTGTTGATTCCTTTTGCAGAAGCAGTGACAATGCTTTCTCCATTGGCAAAATGTTGTTCTCTTCGTTGACTAAATAAATGTCCCACAGTCGGCACAGCTTCCCGAAGGTCCTTGGATCCATTGCCCAAACTTCCAATGGTGGAGGGCGACGAAGATTGTAGGTTATTGACATCTTTTGGATGACCACCAGTAGTGATTTTTTTAGATTTATCCTCTTTGCGTGTTCCCTTGGAGCAAGTAATAGAGATATCTTTCCCTTTTGCATTATCCCGAGGCAATCCATGAGGATCCTGCACCATGAAAGAAATAGAGTTAGTATGGGACGAGGTAGTAACATTTGAACTAATTTGGTTAGCACTAAGATTGGGTCCTTGATTTTGGGAATGGTTCAGAGGTCCGTTAGTATTGATGCTTCCGTTAGTGCCAACGGTAGGATCATTAATTGGGTTGTTCCCCAACGTGTTGACCATCTCGTCCCTCCGCTTCGACCCACTTCGCGACTCAGTGAGTTGGCTACTCAGTTTCCCTCCATGTGAGGAGTTTAGATTGCTCTGTTGATTCCCAGAACCAGGTGCCTTTCCATTAAGCTTCCTCCTATTTTTCCTCCTATCAACAAGCATCCATGGGCCAAATCCCTGACACTCTTCTATCACAGTATCATCTTTAGCATCCTCGTTGACAGGTTTGGTACAATTGGGGGAGTCCTCCTCCATAACAGCAGGGGCTTGCGACAGTTTAAGTGGGCAGGAGTTCTCTTTGTGGCCAACACATCCACAGGAGAAACAAAGAGCTACTGGACCCTCATATAACACTTTCTGGATATGTTTACCAATCCTAACAAAGGGGACAAGCGGCTCATCAAGATCTACTTGAACGCAAATCCTAGCAAACTGTCCTCTTGTCTGATGTGCTGTATGAGCATCCAGTCGCAGAGGCTTCCCTAATAATTTCCCAATTCTTTCAAGAATTTTCACGTCATAATACTCAATTGGCAGCCTGGGTAGTCTTGCCCAGATAGCTGTGGTAGTGAACGCCGCTTTCTCTGGATCAAAAGCCGGTTCCCATTGTCTAATAGTTAAGTAGTACGAACCCACAAACCATGGACCCCCATTCAGAACTCTTAGCAAGTCCTCTCTTTCTTGAAATCTTATGAGGAAAAAATCCACACCAAGATCAACACAATCCATCCTTCCTCTCGGTTTCCATTGAGCTTTGATTCTTGGGTATATGAAGTTGTACCCCGCTGATTTCGTTCCGAACGCCTTGATGATAATGGAATTAAGCCATGGCGAGCGTATTCTTTTCTTCTCCTCTCTTGAAATAAGGATTGTGGGAATTGAGCCATCATCCTCACAATCCGAATCCTCTTCCAGAATATCCAGATTGGTTGCTGCGTCGCAACAGATTTCGATCGAATCGTTGCGTAGAACCAGATCTTTGTACGACAAAGGCTGGGTAGAGTTTTCGATCATTTGATAATCCTCATCAATTGCTGGATAATCCCCGCCTTTGATTCGTTTGATTGATCTACTCAGAAGGTCTCCCTCCTGAGTTGAAGGACGAGGGTTGAGTGAAGCAGACATTAAGAAGAGAGAGGTCAGAGGTTTCTATGCTTTGACCAATTCAATTTCTCTACGCTACGCTGCATTGAATGGGGTGTGACTATATTCTCTCCAGCAACGTTAAAAGGAAGGTAAATGTGCATGTTTCCCTCAAAATTATTGCCTTAAGGTAAATTGTTATTATTATTATTATTATTTTGTTTTGAAAGTAAGAACTATATTGATAGTATTAATATCTAGCAATCTGCATTAAAGAGATGAAAAAGTGTTGAGTTTGGGACTCTACCTGGAATTAACAAGGGTGCTCTTACTTGCTTCTCAATAACAAGTATGGTCACAATGACCAAATGAGTGAAAGGTAAATTATTACTTAAAATAATATTAATAAAACATGTAATTTGGTATTTAAATTTTTTATTTTTAAGAAATTAATTTTAATTCAATAATTAT